AGCAATTGGGTGACGATTTCAGAATGAACTGGAGCGATTCCATGAACCCAGTCGTTGGCGATTCTTCTGCTAGCGCCATTGAATAGAGTATTTTTACGAAGACAACGAATTTTCTTAACATTACTATTATCGCATTTGCGAGCTTCTGGGGCATTTTCAATCTGTTTCGTTCGGAACATGTATGAAATTTACGATTGACAAATTTGGGAAACAATTTTCAGCATAGGTGCTTATTGCTGTGATGGGAAGGAAAAAGGCGTTTCATATATCTACAATATTTCATCGCTTAAAAGAGCTGTATGCTTATCAATATCATTTCATATTACTACTTCCACATATGACCTCCTTGCGGATACTTTTATGTGATACTTTATTGAATAAAGGGACTTCGACTTACCGACTGGGAAGTGTCGTGATTATCTTGGCTATGATCTCCGGTCCATATATTTAAGCAACATGCGAATCTCGCCTCTACCTCAGACGACATTTTCCAAATGATAGGAAACTCACCTAACAATATTTCCTCAGTCCCAAGTGGTGATTGGACGGAAGTCTTCCATATTGTACTTTAGTGAAATGCTCTTTGCAAGCCCTCGCAACTTTTAGGCCAGACGAGAGAGCGCTTATGAAAGGAGAAAGTATCCTTGATATTGGAGTTGATGGCGAGTAATGTAGGTAGCATGAATCAATTTACGACGGGTATATGAACCAGATATCAGTATTAAGAGAGGGGAATGGAGGGTACAAAGAAGTGTCATGGAATGAAAGCTGTAGATGTTGAGTTTTGGTGGAATAGTGAGAGGAGGTCGCAATGGAGTCAGTCATAGAATTTCAAAGGGTTGGCTCGTACTCCATTGGTTATGCTCATACTGGATACTTATATATCCGTACTCTGAGAATGTTACTGACCATCATCCATACCCTCTTCCCAAGAACGAGGTTGTTTATGTTTGGTGTCAGCTGACCAATGTTTTTGTGCCTTCCTCATTGACAGTAAACCACAATATCATCACTTCAAAGGTTTCTCCAATAACGAGCTTTAAAGATTCATGCGCATTCCAACACAAGCTATGGCTGGCTTCCTATCAAACCAACACATTCACTCAATTGCAAGCTTTATGAATTGCTCAAAAGTGATAGGTATTAGATATTCACAAATATGATTATAAGCACCAAGACATTACTTAGGTGGTATCATCTCAACTTTGTTATTGCTGTCGTCTATCTGGGTGTTCGCTTCGATATCCAATGGAAGATATCGATAATTTTCTCTAGTAATTCAATTATTTTGATTTCAATATATCATGTAATCTTCTCGATCTACCCTCTTCTCTTCCATCATACATTCTCATCACCCACCTTCAACATTCGAGACAGCTACCATATACTCCAAATTGCCAGGCAACTTTTTTCCATCTTCCCAGTGTTCTACTTTTCAACAAAAGCTTAATATATTCAAAACCCTTTCGGTACCCAATATGCAATTCGAAAGTTGGAGCAACCTTGACCGTAAATCACTAATCTTTCGAACTTGCATGATTGTCTTGTCTGCTATAACTGCCAGTTTCTTTATTTACATCGTCATCGCTCTCAGCAGAAGATAAAAAGAGATTTGTAAGTTTGAATCACTCAGTGTGTCCCGAGTTTAAGGACTGACCGAGACTTTAGGAAGTACAAATTCGAGAAAGTGTATGTTTATTTCATGTCTTCACTTTTGACATCATCACAGGGACTTTGACATGATAAAAACTGTCATTGGAAGGAAAGGATTCTTTTACTAATGATTCAATGGACTTTAGATATACTCTTTCATACACTGAGTTTGAAAAGTATACAGCAGATTAAGAGTTTGCTGGGACAATTGAGCACGTGCAGCTCACATTCAACAGCAGATACCGCACAATCACCTGCATTGCATTTACTTTTACTGTAAGATTTGTGCATTCATTTATCAAATTCTGGTCTTCATCGTCTATCCTCTTCGATCCATAAAGCTTTGTGTCAGTTATATTACTGATACCTTTGATGCTGAACAGAATCAACTCATTTTCATTTGCAGTCATCTTGAGTCCGAACAACCTCCACATCATCTGACAACTTGCACATTCACCATGGATTCGGACAATGAACCAACCGAAGAAAGACTTTCTTCAATAAATTTGCTTCAATTAAACAATACTGAAGAATTCCCTGCACTTTCATCCAACCCAAAATTCTCTACACAAAAACCAATCGCCACCCCATCTAATTGGGGATCATTATTTGCTTTGCAAGTATCAAAAACATCTCAACCAACAAATCAATCTACACTTGCGCCTCTTCCTGTTACACCCACCAAAGAAATGAAATCCCCCAAAGGTGATTCCATCAGCGAAAAAGAGACCCTACTTGCATCGCCCAGCACAGCAGAATGTATGAGTATTCTATCTACCGAGACTGCTGAAACGGCTGTTGAGGGAGAAGATGCCAATACTCCTTGGGATTCACCGACTCAAAATGGAGAAGACGATACTACTATGTTGAAAGCCGAAGAATTTGAAGATGAGTCCACCGTGCTTTTCCCGAATTTCGTCGCGACAGAAACACCAAGCCCTCCGCAAAAAGAAGTTATTCCTCCATTTCAATTTCCAGCTGTGGCGGCAGAGTCAGAAAGCAATATTTACAGCGCATCGCCGGAACCCATGAAAACCAAAAATATGGAGGTTGAAGAACTATGCGAGGCAGAACGCCATGATACTCCTTCTTACATTAGAGGAGGTTTACCTTTATGGGACGTTGTTGTAAATGATCCACATAGAGTTATTCATGCCATCAAGCACATGATGCATGGCATTGTTGTCATGAACAAAGCAAAGGGCGCACCATCCCACGAAATCGAAGACATTGTAGATAGTCATCTAAGCACTTTGAGGCAGATTGAGATTCTAATAGAGAGAGAAAGGGTTGCCAGACTAGCATGTGAGATGAGGCAGGCAGCAGACAGACGGGCACAATTGGCTCTTGAAAAGAAGCATTTTGTCACCCTTAAAGAGATGGAACCTTTGAAGTCAGCCACCAAGTTCAATCCTGACGCGGTAAGTTTTGATCTGCTGAAGTCTGCCGAAAAGGAAACCCGCTAATTGTGTTCTGTAGAAGCCTTTCGCTCCCTCGAAAGCTGTGGCGTCAGATCTCAGGTTTCCTGCACGTCCGTTTACATTAGTACCTGCTTTACAAAACCCATCTCAATTGAAGTATTCAGTTATTCAACAACCAGGTTTTATGGTAGAACAAAGTCGTGCCCCATCTACACAGGTTAAATTTTACCCAGTACTCAACAGATCGAGAGCTTGGTCTACACATGACCCTGGGAATGTTTCAATTGGTCCTTACAATCATTTTGACGCATACAATCAGAAGCCATCGACGCCAAGATTTCTTCAGCACGCACCGTCGCCCTACTTCATGGCTTCACCACCTCAGCTTTCATCGGATGCACTAGTTTATTCGGATATTCAACAGGAAGATATTATCCAGGATCCTCCTGATTCGCCAACTCTTGTGGAAGATCAAGATGAAAATGGTGGAAATGATGATGTTTTGTTGGCAGATAAGCCGCTCCTGCGAATACCTGTTCCAGGAAAGAAAGATCATAAGTCTACTCCTACATCACCAACTAAACAATTTTCTGCAAACACTTCACTCAAAGCTACAAGCACAAACACCAGTCCTCGGAAAAGGGTCTTCAATGTTCATGCAAGCTATCAAAAACAACAAGCCTACTCACAGAAGCCATTGTTGAAGAACTTTGTTCCTGCAACAGCCACAGCAGATGATATCAAGAGAGTTGAATTGCAACTTCCGCGAACCCACCGCCATATATGTCCTTCTTCTTTGACTTCTCTCGACTTTCAATGCCCAATGCCAAATTGTATGCTCCAGAAAATCTGCCCAGATTTCACAAGTGAGAATGGCTGCTCGTTTCGACCACCTCCTCTCAGCGACTGGCCCTGGAACTACCCACCCAGAGAACCCCCGATCAATCAATCCCAACAATGTCCATACGTACATATTCCAGGTACCTGTCTCCATTCCCTCTCTTTCTTCCGTATCCATTCCGAATCCGAACCTACACCCTACCCTGCAGTATCAAAATACTATTGTCCTGTTCCCAATTGCACCACAACCCGCTTTCACTCTTGGGGATGCGCCAAAGATTGGAAAACAGGATTTGCAGTTAATGGCATCACACCTTGCGCTCCAACCCAGAATCCAGTTCCTCTTGCAGAAATCAACGCGGAATGGCGATGGAGACTTTCGATGGAAGGTCTACGATTTGCGCACGAGAGGGGAGAATATGGTTGTCAGGGTGGAACTATGCCGGCCAATGCGTCGTTTCCAGGTGACCATAAGGGTGCAGATTCGAGGAATTGGGGACCGGATCTTACTACTGAGAAGTCCAAGGCGGATTATAAGAACACACATATGAGAGAGAAGGATAGAGGACGCTCGAGAGGTGGTAGTAGAATGGGGGGAAGTAGGGTACGTGGCGATAGAGGCGGTTCTTCTGATACGAGACGAGAGTTTGCGAGGGAGAAATCGACGAGATCGGCTTGAATGTTGCCGAGCTTATTAATTTTATAATGATCCGCGTAAGGGAAGTTTCTGAACTAAGGATGATAATTTTTCGATCTTGGGTCTTATATTCTAGGAAGGACAAGAAACTATGAAATGGGGAGTTGGATGAGGTTACTGCTTGATATGGTTTTGTAAAGATACCCCGGGCGTGCGACTTCGCGTTTTGCTCATGTTTTTTTGTTTTTTCTTCTTTTCTAGTTTACCGTTTTTCCTTTAGCTCTTCTTGTATCTAAGACACCCGACAGATCAGTTGATACTTCGCAATTTCTTCTGTGGCTGTAGAATATAATGAATGGAATACATGTTACAAAAATTGAAAAAATAAAGACCCTTCTAAATCTTGAATATCCATCCATCATTTCTATCCATAAAACAAGACTCTAAATCTATAACCTCCGCAATCCCCTCACCTCATCCATCAAATCAATCACATCCACCATATCCCTACACTCCATCAACCTCATCCTCTCCTCCTTCCCCAACAATCCATTATTCCCCCCATTCTGCGAACGATCCGTGCCGCACATTTCGCTCAAATGATGCACCACGAGTTTAAACGGTATCGGTTGTTTGAGCACCTGATTCATAAAAACATCGACGCATTCCCAGGGGGTGGATGCGTAGCCGGCGAAGAGGGCAGGATTCTCGAGAAGGCCGCGGGCGGACATAACACCATCGACACCGGTGTAAGAGGTGTGATGGAAGGCGTCGGAGAGGGTGAATATGTCACCATTGGAGAGGGTAGGCACGGTGGTATGGGTTGTGAGAAGTTTTATGGCTTCGAGATTCACGGGGTGTGAGGAGGGGGTTGAGCGCATGCGGCCGTGGATGGTGATGAAGTCTACGCCGGCGTCTTGGACGGTTTTGATGAAATCGATTGTGTCTCTGACAGTGGTATTAGCTATAATTTACCGCTCCCTTGCTTCTCCTTCAAAGAGAGATAGGAAATTTGTACCGTAAATCCCGGTGAATCCTAATCTTCACACTGACGGTTTTCTTTCCCTCAAAGCCATCTCTCTTCAGTGCACTTTTAGCCTCCTTGACCATTTCCGCGACGAGTTCTCGCTTGTGCATTAAGGCGGCGCCGATGGAACAGGCGCACGCCCATGATTGTGGACATCCGCAGTTTATATCTACGCCGTTTACGTAGGGGGCGAGGAGGGTGGTGGAGCGGGAGATTTCGAGGGGGGAACAGACGCCGAATTGGGCGATGGTTGGGCCAGAAGTGGGGGAGGTTGTGAAATCTAGGGGTTCATGTTAGTGTGCGGGAGATGGTGGAAAAGAGGCTGGCGGCGAGAAAGAGTTTGAGAACCGGTGTCGGGAGTTGGGTATTCAAATTGAGCTGGATGCAACCTTGCTGCTGGAAGATATGCAGTGCATATGAGCACAGGTCGATGAGATTTTCTATAAAATTGAACTCATATAGCCTCTCTGCATTTCATCACAATGTATGCTAACAACAGAAGTTCCATATGGTATCGTGAACATGAACAAAGACTTCTCTGTTGCCACTGATTGAAACTCATCAATCTTGACCCAAAACGATCAAACAAATGAATCCAGACTCCTTCACCTAGCAATAAATCCTCGCCCCCAAATCACAAGCCACTCGACTCTACCCAAAAACCCACTCTCAACACATCATGCACCCCAAAAAACCACGTGCTCACCCGAATCACGTGCAAAAACACTGCGATTAAATTCTTTTGCCAAAATCTGCTCTCACACTCAGCACACCATCCTCGATCACACGCGCAGACTACACATAGCACATAACATACCATCGGGGTCCAACAAAGATCCACTCCATACTGGGCGACCGTTTCGCGAAAAGCGAGCTATGTCATCAGTCGAGATGCGGGTTCCAGAAGCGAGGATTCTTACTTTGCTGTAGCGCACCATGGGTGCACAGGTGTAGAGAGGTCTTTTTTCCTTCTGCGCGATGGAGAAGAGGGTGAGGGGACTGGGAGGGGGGTTAGTTAGGTGGTGCTTTCCCATGAGGGGAATGGGTGAGTGATGTACTTTATTTCCAAGGCGGGGTTTGTTGGAGCAATGCCATTGTGCGAGGTGGTGCTTGTCATTTCTTTCTTTTTAGGGGGTTGAGATGAGTGGGCATTTTATTTTGTAAATAATAATGGGAGGAGAATTTATCACGTTTCGGTATCACGGATTCTTTTGTGAGGAATCGCGAGGGATTGTTGGTGTTGGGTGGTGGCGATCTAGTGCGTTCGGTAAAAATTTCTAGGGTGTTTTTTGGGCTTTGGGATTTGGTGATGGTGGTTTCGACAGGATATTAATTTGGTATATATCTGATCAACCACTTCAAGTGTTAAGTCATTCCAATCACATATTCTCACGGCGAATTGCACGGTTGAATCTTTTTTGGTAGTGCTGTAGTTCTAAGCTTGCGCCTGTTTTCGTTGTGATCAATGTCCCCTTGGTGGTAGAATTGCAAGCATAGTCGATGTCATATTGAGATAAGTCTTCATGCTCTGTCCTTTTAATATTGTAGTATCATTATCCTAACTGATTCGCATGCTGCACTAAAGACTCATTGTCCATCGAAGTCACATTGATTCTGCTTTCCACCGGAAAACCATCATCCCTCATTAATGCGCGATTAGCGACTGTTTCTCCGAAACTCTTTAAAACGGTATCCACACATGTCTTCACCTCCAAACCCCAGTGGTGTTATAAACTTCGGCATTTCCTCATCGCGTGTCAACATGACGCCTCGTCCCTCTGCATGAACTTTGAAACGGTGAACTAAAAATTTATGGGCTAACGTGGGCTCCTTCGAAGAATTTCGTACTTTTGGTTGAGTAAAAACACTCCAAGGTAATACCCGTCTAGGCCCCCCGGTTCTATGAAATCTATAGGCGAACTTCTTCTGTCCAGAACTGAAGAAGATTAGTTCCTCTACCGGACATCCCCAAGGATAGACTTTCCCGAAAAAGGATTCAATTTTGTCCGAATCATTTCGTGTATCGATCGCCAAAAACTTCACGCCAGCCTCGATGAGTTCTGGTTAAGATCGTACACAGCACTCCGGTCATCATCGTGGAGTTTTTTGAAGCCATTTACCCTTCCAGCTTCATCATCAAAGGAATCCCCAAGTAAGGACCAAAATTTCGCGAGGTCGTGTATGACGATCCTGTCAACTTTACAGTTTATATACGTTCTGGCCGGATACTCAGGTACTCCAACTAATCGTACTTTTCCCTTCGAAAGGTCTGGAGCCCACTCCAGCAGCTTGTAGTATTTCAATCCTACAGTGCGAGCTTCCGTGCAAGTACGAAGGACCGTCGGTACAGTGCTTATGCACTTATATCCGAAGTCTTCGATCACTTTTGGGCGGCCTTCTCGTTTGTAACATAGCCAATGCTTCCCAACAATGATATTTCTGGGGTCGTTGAAAATCGCCAGCTCCCAGATCATCGATCGAAGTTCCGGGACAAGCTTCGGAAATAAGGTGAACGTGGTTAGAGATGTTGAGTTTCGTGGCTGTCTTGTTACAGAATTCTTTGATGTGGCCATTTTTGTCGTTTAAAAAGTGCAATAAGTGCTGAAAGATAGAGTGTATCTTTGGTCTGTTGATCGCAAAGTAATAAGTAAAGTTATGTTTATTTATCAGTCGACGCCTAGCGTAATAGAAGCCACTGCGAATACTAATGGAGTTTTGTTCGTGAACGAACTCATGATGCTCGACCAAAAATTGATATTATAGTGATTCTGACAACGAGTAGATTAAAAAGGAAAAGAAGAGAGCAGGAAAGTTAGAGGAAGGAGGAAGGAGGAAGGAGGAACCAAGCAACCCACTAGCATGTCGATGGCCACAAAGCTTTGGGGGCTTTAGTTCTGATTACATCTACTCATCCTATCTTTACAGAGGCAGTGCCTCATAAGTGTCCTCGAAAGTCTTCCGATTGAAAGATTAGGAAAGGAAGGAAATGTCCATAAACACACCACTCCACACCTCAGAAGGACAAAATGAGCACAGATTGAACAGTATAGGATTCCGAAACGATCTTGATATCAAGTTGCACTATTGTACAATTTGTATTAAATAACTCTATCTCGGCATTCCTAATTTCACTGGTTATATTAAGATTTTAATGTGATAGTAATAGAATGATATCGATTTCAGCATCTAAAATATTTGAAATGCGTCCTGAACATGAATGTACGTTGGATGGGAGTATTATGTGATCAATATGATGGACGGTGAGGTCCTTTGTATTGATCTATAGTGTGTTTTTATAAAGTATCACTTGGAATGATTGCTAAGTCGAGTTTGAATTACAAAATTAGCTAAAAGTTTCCCAACTCTCTATCTGTGCATCAGATGATAGTGTATTCAGCACGTGACTTCACGGGATGATAATATTACTATCATGTCCAAGAACGATCGAACTTGGGCATTGAATATTGACCCCATATTCCACATTATCCTTTTCGAGAAAATGCTTGAATGCAGCCCAAGACCCAAGATAGATCAAAATGCATTATCGACACGTGATACGAGGTACTTTAGCTCCGAATCCAATATTACGCTCTTCTCCTTGAGCTGAACGAGTGGTGTTATCGGGGCTGATCATGGGTTATATTCGGCTCGATCCTCTTACGCCAGCCTTACACCCGAAAGTTCATTATCAATAAATGGGTGCAGGCCGTGATTCGGGATCTATGTCGGAAGTAAAAATATGAAACTTTAATGATCAGGAAGATTGCCAGTTTGATCTTGAATTCTCCTGTTGTGCAAGCAGGGGCGCTAACTCATGCCGTCTAAGCTCTCTGCATAATTGGCAGAACTTTAGCCAAAGAATGTGATGCTTTGGCATATGTTGACACCACACACCCGCTGCAACACAGCAGCTCAAAGTAGCAGATCTTATTTTTCATTGGAGTGATTGATGGGCTCGACCTAATGAAAACTCAATGTTTCTTGGGGTCGCTGTGGCTCATATGAGAATGCTTCTCCAATAGATTGAGAGATGTCTTCCACACTGTCGTAATCCTTTAATTTATGAGACATGATTCCTAATCAGGTGAATCCAGCTTCAATTTAGATGATGTGAGAGATGGAGCACGCGGGTTTCTAGATGATGTCGATGTTGTGACTACCGATATAATTGAGGAAATGCATATAAGAAGCTGAGAGACACGATGATGCTCATATTTACTTTGAGTTCCTGCTGTTATGGGGTAGATTTGGATCCCCGGATTTTATATTACTTCATTGTTGAACAGGCCAATATATGGTCCCTTGCCTATCGTTGGATTGGTGATATTGAGACATTTGCAAGGTCTTCAGGAGGTCCACCGCCCATACGAACTTCGAAGTACATGCACCTACGTCTGCGTTCCCCACCTACTGGAGCCTGTAAATTAAACGAATGTTTGATGAAGATGGATCCAAATCCGAGGTATGAAAACCCAAAGATACCATTCAATTACTCTCTTTTTCTTTACACTTTGGCTAGATGGAAGATTCAATCTCTCAATTCCTTCCATCTCGAGTCTACTGTTTCTCCCGTTTCGAGAAGGCTCCAACTTCGGGTTGCATTGTTCATTTCACTCCCGCCACAAGTTCCGAACTCAAAGGGCAACGAAACAGTTGGAACTTGGAGTAGCACTTGGAAGTTGGTGGACGAATTGAATAGTACATCAAGATCAAGATGATATGTAATCGGGCCTCATAGGCTATAGCACTCACTGTTCAGTGTTCCCATCCAGATCCCACAGAAGCATTCGATTAGGTTCAAGATGCGTCTATTACAGACCGATAGTAGCATTTAATCTTGGTGTGCTAATTATTTCATCCACCATCCATTGCGTGAGAGGGCAGGAGCCTCGGAGCACCAGGAGCTTACACTTGGAACTTGGAGGCAATAAAGGCGGCTGTGCCTTAAAATAGTATGATTCCTCTATGCTCGATCAGTGGTTCGTTTGTATCCAATGGGGAATTCTACGTCCGTCCCTCCACTGTTTCTGCGCTTTAGCCATTTTCTGGGATCACCTCCCTGTACATAAACGCTCCACCCTAATCTTATTCTGCATCTTCTACTACCTAGGCGCGCGATCAGTACTCTTTTACGGCGTCGAAATGGGGTAGGGAATACGGAAACGGAAAAGCCTCAAGCAAATCAGGGTCGTGTTCTTGGGTTTATCATTTACAACGATATGGCTTGTTATGGCTGACACTACATTTTCTCCTTTAGAACCACGACTTTTTCTTCATCCTCTTCCCCTTCCTCTTCCTCTTCCTACCCATCTCACACAACGGACACACATTCATTTAATTGTTTGCGAAAGGATCAAACACTCCATTCACTCAGTAGTCTGCGAAAGGATCAGACATCTCACATTAAGGTTAGAAACAACCGAAAGGATCGAGACATCTTAAAGAAGCGGCGAAGATCCAGCCAACACGATACAACCTCAATCTCTTATCCTGCATATAATACTCTCAAACTTCCTGAAAACGATCTTATCATTTGGGAAGGAATTACATGGGAAATGCAATCACCACGACGAACTACTAGACCGGCATCGGCAGGGAGTACGAGTACGTTTGATTCGAGACCTCGAAGTCCATTGAGCACCAGTGCCTCAATTGACGATTTATCCAGCCTGGCGAGTGAGATATCGTCGGTGTCCAACAATTACTCAATCAAATCGGCATCAAGAAGTACGATTCAGGTAGGACCCACAAGGGCCCAAACAGATCCAATCTCCAATCGATATGAATTTGAGCCCAGACCACCAGTTCGAACAACCCTCCTCGAGCCTCAACGATTGATGCAGGAACCTGTATCCTGGACGAATTTTGTCTCGCAGCCATCTTTAGGAGAGGGTTTGCTTAAACTTCCCGAAGAAATACTTCTGGTTATTCTGCGGGAGCTCAAGAAATCACATCTGAAAGCGGGGAGCCTAAGTTGTGCAACATGTTGGATGAGGGATCTGCACAGTCTTGGATTGAGCAACAAGAAGTGGTGGAGTGCTGCAAGAGTTATTCTATATGAAGACATACAGCTTGTTGGAAGTGATTCGAGTTTGCATATGAAGAAAAAGTACAAGTCGAAACATGGAATCAGGTTGAGACTTCTTCGTCGAACCCTTCGGAGTCAACCAGAGCTCGCCAAATATGTCAAATCATTGAAAGTTCCTTCAATGCCAGACTCGGCCAAAACGAAACAAGATCAGGATGAATACATGGACTTGGTAGCTTCAGTGATAATGGCATGTCCAAACTTGGAACGCGTACCAGGAATCTATCAGCCATACGATCATGAATTCACAAAGTTCTTCCATGCACTGGGGACGCGATCGAAACTCGTCGAGAAAGTCTGGATTATCGAACCAAGCCCAATACGACGTCTTTACAATGCATCTGATGAAATCGAAAACCCTGTGATTGTACCAGGCCCTTTACGCTCTGAACAATATCTCGATTTCTTGGGTCTTAACTCGAATTGGCCACATTTGCAGACACTTGTCCTTCATTGTAGCCCCGGTGGCATGATTGATTCACCTTTATTCACTGAAATATTTGGACGTCTTCCATCGCTTCAGGATTTGTATATATCGAACTTCCCACGTACTTCTTTCAATGATGAGAACTTGCTTTCTCTTCCAGCTCTCAAAAAACTTCGACTCGATTCACTTCCAGGCATAACCTCGAATGGATTAGCGGCCTATGCATCATTACCTACTTCCACGAATCTTATCTCACTGTCTTTAATATCATTACCACTCCGATCACTCGCCATCCTCGCTCGATTTTTCACTCACCTGAAGAGCCTCAAATCATTCTCTTTATCTCAGGGTCCTTCCCCTATGCTCAATGACCAGAATGATATCTTCTTACACCCTTACCTTGCCTCGTCCACCCTCGAACACCTTCACTGGGAAATCACGAATCCTGATGACGACAAGGCTTCTGAGATCCTTGCTAAATCTATCGCTTTCTCCGGATTTCCCAATTTAAAGTCTCTCCGTGCCCCAACTGACTTTAATGGTATGCTTCAAAGGCTATGCAAACCAAGGTCCAGGATTGAATTACCAGGAGACAAGTATCGAAATATGGGAGTCGGCAACCCTCAGAATCGAGCGGCGACTATGCCTGCCACTATACCCGTAACACCTCCACCAAATCGCCAGTCAATATTTTCTCGACAGAGCGAGCGTCGCGATAGTGTAATGACTGGAAAATCCTCAAACTCATCTTCGCTGTCTCTTGCATATGAGACCCACATAGACGGGAGCGGCAAACATGAGATGGTGAGTTTATTGAGTGCTCGACATGCTGCTCAACTTCGGATTGATACTGCTACGACACCACAGTTTGATATAATAATTTGGGACGATGATGGACAATTCCTCGAGAGGTTCAAATTAGGAACTTTCATTGGCAAAGTAGAGAGTAAGATTGTATACAACTTGAAGCCAGATATTGAAGGCAGTGATGAGTCTATCATGAGTGTCGAGACACTTTTGGAGAAGGGGGTCGAGTCGAAATCTAGTGATGGTTGTACGGGAAGTTGGAACATAGACCTAGACTCGAAATCAAAGGATAGAAAGAAGAGAGATTGGTGGTGGCATACTGAGAGGGAAAGATGGAGAGAGACAAAATTGGCTACTTTCTTTTAATGTTGATTCTTTTGATACCCAGGGAATGGTGTTTATGTTAAAAAGTTTTATGTCTATCATATTTTGGAAGTTGGAAACTTACTATTGGGTTTTTTATATTGTAAATTTAATAATAATCATTGTCTTTCAATTCATTACTTTGATATCTTGTTGGAGTCATCTATTCTACATCTTCTTAGGCCTTTCACTTTCTGCACCAGACATGTCTTGAGCTTCCAGGTTGTGTTAACAACATTATAAGATTGACATGAGTGACAGCCCTCAACTCTCATCCGAACTACATTCCTTTCTCTTAACATTCACTTTCACAGCTCGGCCCCCTCACCACCTGACCCGAAGTTGGCAGCCTGATTTCGAGAGATCTTTCAGTTTCTTTTCTACTGCCTTCTTTATTCTTTCTCGCTTTCCAAATCTCTTCAATACATAACACACAGTCCCAAAACTCAAGTTGTACAGTACAGGGCAATCCTTTTGACAATATTGAAAGTACTGGCCTCCACTAGTTTGCACTTTCTTCTCTTACATATCTTGATTCGATCTATTACATAGGAATTGTTTCAGATTCATCTCTTCTTGTTTCTTCTTGTTGCTTGTCAAGTTGTCGCAAGTTATTCTGTTTACACATCACCAACAAACCAACAAACCGACCAAACCCAATCTCGAACAAGCAATCAAAGCCACTCTCTAACAATCCCATCCATCTATCTCAAATTGTCGATCTACGATCTATAATCTACACATGCACGAGACACCAATCTCCATGACCAAACAAAAGATGTCTCTCCCACTCCTCCCCAAGCGCGGTCTCACTCCTCGCGAAGTGACCGCCCTCCTCATCATGGTCGCATCGCAACTTATCATCGGCGTTATGATGCTGCGCATGATGATGGCTAATCAGGGTGTTGCTAGTGTGGGATTTACTGAAGTTCTTCCTACCATTCAACCTTCGTTCCACGGTGCGCAGTGCGAGGCTCAGATGAATGATGGAAAAAATGGCATGAACTTTGGTGGAAATATCGATTGCAGTAACTTTAACAAGGACGCAAAGATGAAGGAATTCAATGTGGGTCAAGGAATCGATGCTTCGGAGTATTTGCTCAGGACGAAAATCGTCATCGGTAATCGCATTTCGTGTCATCGCACATTCGTGACGGAGAAGAAGAATTCGCTGGTGAAGGGTTTGTGGGAAGTAATCGAGGGCATCTACGAACTTGAGGAAATGGCTGCGGGTTCTCGGATTGACGAGAGTTTTGCTCAAAATAGTGGCGCTCAGCGCGTTTTGCGAAAGGGGGATGGAGCGACAGATGGTGGTGTCGGGGAAGATTGGGAGGTGGTCAAATTTGCGCAAAATCCGGCGTATCCCGCGGATGAACATGATCAGTTCCGTGCGGAGATCTCGTATATGGAAGATAGGGTTACGGGGTTCCGCAGGGCGGTGGAGGAGATTATGGAGAAGAATGATGTGGAGGGGGTTTTGAATATGGTCAGGAAGAGTTTGAAGGGGTTTGGACCGAATGCACAATTCGTGCGAGACGAGAAGAACGATGGAAATTCCGAGGAGAAAATGATGCTTGCGCAGAAGAGTAAAGAAAAAGTGAATCGCGCGCTCTCCAGTCTGTGGGAGATTTTTCAGGACATGGATGAAGAGATGAAAGATACAGAGCGATGGTTGAGAGATACAGAGACGGCGTTGAAGAGCGTTGTACATGAGTTTAAGATGGAGTGGACACTTTAGATGATGTGGGTTTAGGGTGTGGTGGCAGCGTCCATGCGACTTTGATCGATTACTTGCATACATATATGCGTACGCATACGACTAGATTGGGCTATGATTATTTCTTTTTTGTTTCTTTTCGGTTTTCGGGTTCTGCTTGCTCTTTTTACCCTTTTGATTCTAAGCTTGCGTCGATCGTCTCGTTTGCATCTTACGCTGTTGGAAAAGATGTTTACAATACGATGCAATACGATACGAGTTGATGGGAGAGGGAAGGAGGAAGAAGGAAGAAGAAGAAATGAAGAAGACTTTTGTACGATACCCCTCACGAACAATACATGATAAGAAAGAAAAGACTCACTGCGGATCCATCCTACTGGAAGCTTCGAGGAGCAAGGAAAAAAATAACCAGATACTTTCTGTAATTGTCCTTGATACATCTCATTTCTCGTTTCGTACGCGAAACAGATACCTAGTTTTTTAGTCTCCTAGGAACATCATAAATGATAATTGTATCTACTTCTTTTGCTTGATCTATCTGTGTCTGTGTACGTTTGTAAACTTTTTTCTCCACAACAGTAAATACCTACGAATGATAGAATAAACTAAACATTTATTTTATTCCCTTCCATACATCCATCCATTTTCTTCTTTCTTTCCCAAACCCCCAAAGAACACAATCCATGTTCCCCAATACCACCATCACATCACATCGCCTCATCTCACTTATCCGCCTCATTCAACTCAACCCAACAAATCAAACAAGCCAACCCTCCCCCCTTCCAAAAAATCCCATCCCAACATCCCATTCCCACCTCACCGCACAGGACACCCCTCAATCCCCGAATGCAAATAATCAAAACTCTGCACCAAGCCCGCGAAATGCGCCAGCGCCGCCAGCACAACCATACAATGGAGGATCTGATGGCTATTGCCGTAGAGATCGAAGCGGCCGGGGCAGTATTTTTCTGGGATCTATTTGTGCGATGTTAGTTTATGTTTATTTTGCTTGTTGATTAATACAGCAGGTCGTGAGGTGGGTTAGAATTAGATTTTGCGTCGAGCCTTGTGGACTGGTGGTTTAAACCTGGGAGGGGGAGTTGCAGGTTCCTGATTTACATCCAGATGTGCTAGTTTCGTAGTGGGAATCTCGCACGAAGAAAAAAAGAAAAGAGAAATAAAAAGGAAAAAAGGTATGAGAAAAAGAACTCACCCTCAAACTATAAGCCAAGGCCCCCACAAAATTAAGTCCCGCCATGCCCACTATCCAACCTAGACTCAATCGTTTATACTGCAACGAGATGCCGTAGATGATAATCGAATGCACGATGAAGATGACGGCCGAGAGACCCAGGGCTGCGTACATGAGGGTGCGGTAGGGACGGAAGAAGGGGGTGCGGAAGGGGGGGAGGAGGGTGAAGAGGGTGAGGGCGAGGGAGAGGAGGGTGATCTGGGGGTGGGGGGAGTTAGCGGGGGGAGGTGAAAAGGAAGAGAGAGGTGGGGGGAGGGAGGAAAGGAAAAGGAGGAAAGTACCATAGACCAGTAGATTCTCTGGAGTTTCACATCACATATAAAACCGTGATAGATGGTCGCAACGGTGCTTCCCCACATGAGAGCCACGATACCGAGATAATCGAGCTCGATCCAGAAAGCTGCGATTTGGTGACTGTGATTATTGAGAGTGTGATATCTGCGTGTGTGAAATAGATTAGTCTCAAGATTCAAATATCAAATCCAGAATTAGGAGCTGTGATTAGCGTTGACATCTATCTGAAGGAAAAAGAGTATTGCGATATCAAAGACAAGCCAGAGACGAAGAAGAAAAGAATATGCAAGACAAGAATACAAAAGATGAGTCAGAAAAAAAGGGGATGAAGGGGATGGGGAATCCACGGACAAGACAAGAGAAGAGAAGAAAAACATACACAAAGCTTAATCCAAAACAAACCGCCACGCCTCCAAAAAACAACGCGAAGACTACGAGATCTGCGGTCGTGGCATCGTGGTAGCGAGGTAGTAAGGTGTGGTAGATATAGATGGGGAGGAGTGCGAATAGTATTGCGCCGATGAGATGGGAATGGATGTTTACTGGTTGAGGTTTGTTAGTGTGGGTGATGGGTGTGTGAGGAAAGAAAGAAGGGAGGGGGGGGAGAAGGAAGGAGATTAGTTACCCGTTTCGTTGTGCAGATGAAATACACTTCTGAATGATCGGAGTGAGGATTTGGTTTCGGGTCTGGGGGTGGAGTTAGTTTGATGAGAGGATGGGATGATGGGGGTGTGTGATATGGGTTGTTTTGATGGGTAATTAAGAATTGAGGATGAGAAAAGACGTACCGATATCCAGTAAGAATATATTCATTATCCTGTCTCCATTCCGCTTTGAAAATTCATCAGCATGAGTATTTTGTAACCCCCTGGCTCTCTTCCAAATGAATCTTCGCAAACACATTCGTACCACCGTGATATATTCCGTGGTATCAACTCCGGAGAAGAAACCCAGAAAGTCCCCGAAGTAAAAAAGAAAGAAAAAACTCACCAACTTCATCCCACCTCAAAATCTTTCCTATCCTCTCTCCCCCCTCCTCTATCCCATTCCCATTCCCATCCCCATTCCCACTTCCAAATCTCTCCAACCCCCCACCCTCAAACTCTATATCCTCATCTCTAACCAACACCTCCAAGCCCCCCATCGACAAACCCGTCGCATTCCTCTTCAATCCCAACTCCCCATCATCATCGATCTTCTCACCATTCTCATCCCCATCCCCAGCCTTCCCAATAATCAACACCTTCTCCGGCACTTGCACCAGATCCCCCTCATCCTCCTCCTCTCTCGCCACTATCAACGTCGTAGCCGAAGAGATATGTCTTACATGTTGTCTTTGTCTTGATTTGACCATCTGATCTCCATTTCCATTTCCACTGACATCCCCATCCCCATTCTTCGCAATCACATCCGCACTCACATCCCCATCCAACCTTCTCTCCCCCTCCCTCTCCCCCTCCCCCTCCAAATTTAACGCGAAAAAAGGATACGCACCCGCACCCGCATATCCATAAATCCCCTCCTCAAGCCCATCATGCCCACCAAGCCCATCCTGCCCCGACTCAAAATTCGACATATCCCCTAAACTTCAAATACCTATTCAAACTCTCTCTCCTTATCCAAGAAAGATATGAAAACAGAAAGCAAAGAAAGAGAAACCGAACCAAAAAAAAAAAGGGAAAATAAACACAGAGTTTTCAATCCTTCAACTTGACAAAAAATGAAGCACCACCTATTTTCAAAAGATCAATCATCAATTTCTGTTATTATGTGGGTTTCTAGATTTGGTTTTTCGAAGCTCCGCGTGGACAAGTGCTACGAGGGTAATAAGCAGGTGAATTTGTATTCAATAACTGGCAAGGCGAGGATGAGAATATAGTATACTTGGATTCTGGACTGTCTTGGGACTGGTTGTGTATGTAAATGTTGGTGTCTTTCAACCAAGAATGAATTTCAAAAAGAAAAGGGAAGAACAGATAGGTTGGCTCACTGGTTGGTGAAAAGAATAAAATCCCAGGTCGGGACAAAATCAAGTGTGGACCAGAGGTCATTAAGTATAATCATTCCTCTATCTGCTATGGACCTTCTATCCCTCTATCCCAACAGCCCAAGCCTGCGAGCACCTTCTTGCTCCGCCAAACCGTATGACGGACCTCAAAATCTAAGATAACCATTTTGCGGTCCTGCGAAGACATGTAAGCAGGTAGATCCTACCAAATTAAAGATTTTTTCAAGATTGAATTTTTCATATAGCTTTAAGCAACTTGTGCATTTAGCGACAATAATGAATCTGCCTGCTAAACCTGAGTGGCTAATATCGTGTGTAAAAAGGGGAACGAAAGCATACTAGAATATTTGCATGATCGTGATGTATTGCCACAAAGACGATTGTTGGAACTTGCGTAAGACAAAAAAGTACATTGTCGAAGACTGATCTGACCAATAGTATAAGAAATGAAACTAACTTTTTGGGGGCAAGAGTGGGTGCTCGATCGATCTGCCACCTGTTGGTGTCCCTGACTAGGCGCTTAAAGTAAAAATTGCGACGAAACCATCTATACTCCTGTCATCACCTGACTTGATGGGAGCTGTGCCTAGTTAAAGATAATCCTTCTTGGGTAGAAGGGTTCAGTGTGTGTTTTGATCATGTCCCCAGTTTACGTAACGCAACAGAGAATCTCAAGCTAGAGATTAGTATGTCTCCAATTAGCAACTGAAAATTGCGGAGGAAATTTTGGTGTCCCTAAATAGTAAGGTCATAAATAGAGCAATGATTATTTCAAAATGCAGTATCAACAACCCCATATCGTCAATATGTGGTCTCATATAGTCATGATTGAGGGGCTCCAGCTTCTCGTCAGACTATTCAGGTACTGACTGGAGGATCGACAATTGCGCCAGAGATTGGATCGGCAGTCAAGTCAGTGCCTCTTTCCACTTCTCTACTAAGTAATGCCATGCCTCTGTCGGCAACGCTGACTATGTTTTGTAATTCCCTCAATGCCCGTTCATTGTTATTGTAGAAGACGCCATCAATGGATTTTTTGTAGTTCGATGTTGTGTTGTGATTCTTTTGATATATTTCAGCATCGTAAGTATTTGGATCAACTTCAGTATAGGTTGACTTCCCATGTGAATTCTCCACCTCAGAAGATATATTGGATACCAACTCGAGGGGCAGTGGGGCTTTTGTACCCATGACAGCTTCCACAAACCTTTGATCAAAGGATTGATTGTGTCCAGTAGGGTCGTCAAGATCATAATTGGGATGTTCCGAATCAAGGTCTGGACTGTAATCATCATAACCAAGTTTACTAACTCGAAGAATCTTGAGATTGAGACCTTCAATATCTCGAATGGCTGGAGCAACCCATGTGCAATCCTCAGGCTTCACGATGTCGTGGCGACCTATCCATAGACTGGTTTTCTCTCGATCCGTCGAACCATTAACCTTCAGACCGATATCATTCAAGTATAATTCTCTCAAGGAATGACTGGTTTCCTCGATCAAAAGCAGCAGCATCAAAGGGTCTAGATCCATCCGTTTTAATTCCAAACACCTCAACTTGCTAAGGACAAGTCTTTTGCTAGGATAGTATGGGAGGCACCGCATGGTCCACTGTTCGTTCGTCATCCTGGACGCGACTCTTTTGTTTCTTATACGTTTGGTAGTTTGCGCCACGTTCCATCCAATGATACACAAGGTTTCCAGATCCTTGGCCTTCCCAATTAACAACCAGAAATTTCGAGCAAAAACCGCTTGTAGTGGTGTTCTGCTTTCTTGTCTCTTGAATGATATCAATAAGCTTTTTAGATTTTCAAAAACTTTGAAAGCATTTTCGACATCGATGTGCACGTTGCATAAGCTATTGATCGTGACATCAGTGATGTGATCTAGAACCAATGTATCTATCTTTTGATGCTCCTCTGGACGATTCGCCGCGCATGCTAGAGTGTTCGCGAATAATCTTGTAGATGTCATGAAAGAATTACTGACGACCTGGAATGGTAGGTTAATCTTAAGTCGAGTTATATCTGGGGCATTCTGCATGACTCTGCGAAGTAGACGACTGTAATCCTCCTCTGTAAATGTGGTCTTGTTGAGGCAATATGATCGAAGGGAGTCGATCAAGTCTGCCATCTCAGGAACCGCAGCATAGATTGCGTTGAATGTCTCTTTCAGTTGATCTATTTCATCTGAGAAATGTGTTAGCTTTGAAATGCCTCGCTGATAGAGAAAATGATACATCGCGATCAGTATATAGGCTGCTCTATGCGCATATAAAGTGATGCGATGCAATTGAGGGACGAGGGGAAGGACATTAACGCATACCCGTATCTCGAGTTATCATCATATCAATGTACATGGAGGATGATAATGAAGCTATATCTTGGAGAGTTTTCAGTTCATCTGGATTGTCATCGATATCTCGGAATCGGATGAATCGCGAGAATTCCAACGAGGTCGTCTTGAAGATTGATGATTTCAAGCCTTGATCGAACGCTTTACATACTAATCGCAGATCCAAAAGTTGGGATTTATGATCGCGACACATCTCGATATTCTTTTGAAGAATTGAGTCAAGAATCTCGGGCGGAAGTTGATCCATGATGTGGTTGGATGTTCGTTATACCGAATGTGATGGAGTATTGAGATGTCGTTTATTTTAAATTTTGAGAATGATGATATATTTGAAATCCAAGTACCTAGCTATGAGTAGTAAAGATTGAGTGTGAAGTAGTTGTATTTTGGCCAGTACATTTGTTACTGTAGGTGGTAGAATAACCGTTGTAAATGGAGTTGCGGTGGTGATGTGGTGTTCTTGCAATTGTTTCGTGGTTGTGATTGGAACTTTGACAATTAAATAATTTTGTGGGGAAGGCGAACAACCACAGCCGTGCATGCAAGGCTGACCAATTAAATGATGAAGCAAGCTACCTACCCAGTAACATTTAAAGATATCATTAGCTAATAACTAGTTCGTTCGTCCTATGAATGAATTCCAATCAACTAGCGCTGTTGTCACCCTTTTACCTACCTATCACGTGGCTTGTACTTCACATAGGTAGGTAGGTAGGTTACCTATGGATGGATATATATCGAATGTTGTCAATTGATATCAAGGAATTTGCATCCGATTTTCACCATTGATGATGTGGTTAATAAGTAGATTGACGCGGTCTTAAAGACTACTAGGTACTTTATGTTTTTATCTACCTTGTATTGATCTCGAGAAATTCGACAGAAGATAGACACTCCAACTATCAGCGGAGAATATTCAACCAATGGTGAGCCCAACCGCCAGCCACATCTGAAAGCCAAGACGGCTTCTTTGATAAGGCTGTGTGTATCATGATTTGTGTCTACTCTGCGTGTGAGAACCGCGAAGAACGTATATCCTATACCAGTTTGAGCACTACCTTTGGAGACCAAACGAGAAAGGCGGACCACTGCTCTGGACGGATGAGTCCCTGGGAGAAGGATCTCTTCAAATCTGGTATATCTCTACATCGTCATATATCGATACTATCCCGTTATCTCATTGTGTTTTGTAACTTGTTTTCGAAATGGCAGAATATGCGTCTTGAGTAATCTCAGAGAAAGACCACGAATCATTGCATGAAGGAGACCAAGCAGTTATATCCACGTTCCTCTTCCGATAAGCATTGCAGAATTTGACATGCAGAGAGGAATTTAGGAACTGTGCACAATCTGGTGGTGGCTTCAAAGGCATACGACCTAAGACATGCAAGTTTTGGGATACCTGGAGCTTATGTACGGAATACTCTTACAAAAACACGGTATGCAAGAGCTCCTTTTTAGAAAAGGCTCAGCAGGCTCAGCAGGTTGGAAGAAGTAGATGATGTATTTTGATTCAACAATTCAGGACTCCACAGCCCCTTACTCCTAAATTTTGAGTAAGACTTCGGAAAATTATTTTATTTCACTGATTGGCAATTTCCAAAAATACCATTGTCAACGTCGGCGAGAAGTCAAGCATTGCTTATATCGGCATGTATGTATATCTGTACTGTGTATTTTCACGGCATCGTTATTTCTTCAACATCTTTCGATATCTTGGCATCAAATCTCGGATATGAGACTTCCCCCTGCTGAGATCTACGAAACATCGTTGCATCCAACCAGCATAGATGTCTCCACCAGGCCACACAGCTACCCACATGCTATCTCAACAAGCGCGGAACATTCGTAATGATCTCTTTCGGTTATGACCACATTTCAAGGATTTAAGGATTTTGGAAAATCGAATCTCGGTGAGATTTCTCTTCAATCAGAACGTATCAATCCAACAGACCCGAAGAGGTACAGCATGTCCCCACAAAAGGAACGATTATGTGAAGTCAAGTATCCTTTTCGTACAGGTTTCAAGTTGGAAATTTCTCAGAAACACGAGCGGAAAGCAAAGACGTTTTATGGGCGATAAAGGCATTGCGAAGTTGCGAAGAGCGGAATAGACAGATCCATGTTCTTATGCTTAAGGGATGTTTAAGGGGGCGAATAGAAAGCTTGGAAGAGCACAACATAATACATATTATCGCCTCGACTAGGGATTTTCTTTGAAAGCTGTGCTCTTGCACAATTATCGCCCACTTTCTCTTTGCGCTGTTCGGTTCCCACGCCTGCCTGCGCTTCCTCGCACTGGTCTGCATTGCCTGCATATAACACATGCAACATGTCAGAATCATAGATAGATCAAGGTCATGAACGGAAAGTCATACGTACGACATGTTTAACTAAAAATAGATTTTTGTTGGTTGATTGGATGCTTGGTATCAAACCATTGCGAGGCCTTGATAAGGGGAGGGAGGGAGGGAGGGGGATTAATGAATGAAGAGGAGAGGAAGGATATGAGAAATGGAAGGTACGAGCCGGTACGAGTACAGTTATTAGTCTTTTGATACCTGCATACATACATACGTAAGTACATACATACAATCAATTCGTATAGTATATCCAATGAAGCGATGAGTATTTTTTTCTACTGAAGACGGACGTGTAATAGAATTGAATACGAGTAAGTTATACTTGTATATGTAGATAGTATATCCCTTCCCTAGGTATGTTGAGAAAAGACGATGTCAGTATTAAATTATACTTTGTAGATATATGTATGTAATACCTAATATATACTAGGTATAGTTAATATATCAAGGGTCCATCTAGGTAGGTATTCCCAGAACCCTCAAAATCAAGATACGAACGATACCTTAGGTAGATGATCCCTTACTCGCCTCTACCCTACGAGCCTACGCACCACTTGGTGTTTCTCTTCCATCAAATTGTGTGCTTGGACTCGTCCTAATTCCGAAGTGCCGGTATGAATGAAGGACTTTAGTATAATAATTGATGAATGCACGTTTGTTCTTTTGGACCCTTGATATTTGATTTGATATTTGATTTGATATTGGATATTGGAGATTGGAGATTGGAGATTGGATGTTGGAGATTGGAGATTGGATGTTGGATATTGGAGATTGGATGTTGGATATTGGATATTGGAGATTTGAAGCCAAAGATTTCTCTGTACGGAATATACTCTATCCCTATTCCTATGTACAGTACTCCATCTTGATATTGATATTGATGTCGATTATCACTTCCTAGATATCCATAGTTATAGGTATGCTACTTTGTATGGTACCGATGTGATATACTCATCACTACTACTTATTACTGGGTATCATACCGATGCTGACTGATATTATGTTGTGTTGTATTGTGTCGTATGTATGTATGTATGTATGTATGTATATATTGTGTTGTAATATCTTGTGTTGCATCGTTCTCATCCCTATCTTTTTGTGAATTCCAATGAATTGATTGGGAATCATCTTAATTCATCTCCTCCCTAGACAGAATGGAATGACCGAGATATTATCATCATTTTACCTCCTACCTCCTACCTCCTACCTCCTACCTCCTACCTAGCTAAGTAAGTACTGTAGAGAGATATCAAGGAAAAGACGAAAGACACATCCAATCGAACTATCCCTTTCCCTTTCCCTTTCCCTTTCCCTTTTCTCTCTTCCATCAATTAATTCCAAGCCCCAGCCTCATTGAGTTAAAGAAAAAAAAAAAAAACTCCACCCTTCATTCACCACCTGCTCAACTAACTCACACTCAGGGTCAACTACTAATAACTCATCGCTATCAAAAATCCACGTTTTTAATTGATTGAACCGAACCATGTTGATTTTATCGTGATTTTGTCTTGAAGTTTCAAATTTCTTCTTGTTTTTCTTTTTTCTCCTCCTCCTCCTCCTCCTCCTCCTCCTTCTCTCCCTTCTCATTCGCTCTCCTCACTTTCTTCTTTCTGTCTCATGCATCTTCATCCCATCCCATCCCATCATCATCATCATCATCATCGTCGTACATCCTTTGACGCTCTCCTCTTTTTCTTCTCCATCAAAAATATTGCTTCTAACGGAAACATCTACATAAATTCGACATTCGTTTGTGCATACATACATACATACATACATACATAGTACTTATTACTTACATACAACTTCCTCCATACGATACTATCCCATACTATACCACTTTCTCCCCTCCCCCCCCTTCAGATACGACCTTTTTATATCGTGCTTAATTAATTTGCGACAATCCCGGAAGTGCCTATCTTACCACTACCACTACCACTACCACTACCCACCACATTCATATTTACATCCGCTTTCACATTAACTACCGCCAATTTTCAAAGAATTGCCAACCCAATACTTACTACTTCTTTGTACATTCAAGTCGAATCGATTCAATTCAATTCACATTCAATTCAATTACTTCTTTCCTCTACAATTTTGAATTCCTACAAGAAAGAAGAGGAAAAAAGTATCCACAATCGTTTCAATTCGAGAGATTGTGAAACGGAAGACTCGGGCACCATCCATCCTCCAACAACCTTCGTTCCCCTACCACCCTAGCTTTTGAAAACATATTCTATTCCAGAAGGAATTCGATCGTGGAAATTTACTCAGCCTCATTAAATCAGTCGACATCTCTGCAGGTCAGAGAACGCGCGACTAATCTGTCACTCGTTTGTTTGTTTGTTCGTTTGAGTCTTCATTTGTAGAAAAAAAGAATTGCAATGTTCATCTAAATTCTGCTACATTTTCTCTGCTCTACGCAGTCTGTTGCGACCATGCATGGTTCTACCTTGACAATGCCTTCGGTCTACGAATCGAAGAATACTTTCCCTCGTTCTCACTCTTCTTCCAATATTCCCGATTTAGTTAATGTTGAGTACAAGAGATCTTCCATGCATAGCGATACCGAACTTCCACGATCTGCGAGTTTCAGCACCTTACCAACCATTGGAGATGCGAGTACCGATTACAATGAAGGAGAATTACATAGGCTGAACTCTGCCGCGAGCACCCCATCTTTTCCCTTCCCACAAATAGAAACACCTTCACCGAAATCACACTCCATCCGAGAAGGAAAATCCACCAACCGACTCACGAAGGAAGAAAAGGCAAAGAACGAGAGAGTGGGGAGGAGACAATCACTGGTGGCACGTCCAAAGTCTTGGATCCAAAAGGTGAAGGGATCACCCGAGAGACACCCCGCTCCTGAACATGCCAA